GGTAGAAATATGTGAAGGATTTGGAGGCTCCGCTCACGAGGTGTCACATGCATAGTTCCCGCGGGACGACCACTCTCAGAAAAATGCCATTTGAGAGAACAGCTACATGTGCTTCTTCAACATATATACAATTTCAAATACGTTAAAATTTTAACATATTTTCTTTTATATTATTGGAGGCACTGACTTCTTTTTGCAGCGCCAGACGCAATTTGCGGCAACAAGTCAACTCTCAGGAAAAAGTGCGCCGTGTAAAGCCCCTTTTTCATTTGTAGCTACAAATTCTGCAACGTGATTGGCTAGCATAAATGCCTTTTAGACCGACTTTTCCCCTGGCAAATAACGATGACAAATTTTATCGCTAGAAAAATTTCGAGCGCAGAGCTTAGTCAGCTCATGTGGCCTTGACAGGCTTGAAAAACAAAGGCGAAGCACAAGTAATGGAAAATCTTAAAGGCTCACGTACTGAACGCGATTCGGCAAGGCGAATTTTTAGTTAAAACCAAATAAAATTCTGGAAAGAATTTTAAGAGACAGGTCAAAACGTGTTATCTTTTAAGTAAATATCAAGAATATCATGATAAATTATGTTTAATTCTTAATCAAAACTTATGTACTAATTATCAATCAAAACTTATTTCAAGTAAAATTCACTTTTCATAAGAATAATTTATCCCCTTTTATTTATTTTAAGCAAAATTTTGTTTAAAATAAGAATTTCTCAAGAACTTTATTCTAGGTAAGAATTCTCGATTTTGCTGTGTAGAACAACTGTCTAGAAAATCTAGCAAGCAAAATCAACTGCCTTTGTAGCGCCGCTTTTTCGCATTTGGTTGCTAGATTTGTTGGATTTGAGGCTGTTGTCATTCTCTCGCTTTCGATAACGTACGCCGCATATAACTTTTTTATTATTTTTTTATTGCTCTTCATACACTTAGAGAGTACGGACACACGGCATCTACTAACACACACACAGGATGATACCGTTATTTACATAATGATCGCTAATCTATGATTGATCAGATCTCGACCAAATATGTTAATCAGTTTTGTCTCCTTGTTCTTTGTGCCACTGGCAACATAACAATTACTCTTTGTCTATATTTACACGTGTTTCCTGATTACGAAATTGACACATACATGACTGATATGCATTTCATTCCTGATGAAATGGTACCTTATATCTATGTACTTGGATCTCTTGTAAAAAACTGGATTCTTCGCGGGTGTAGATAAAAGGCGGGCGCGGACTGGCGGAAGCGGACTGGCGGACCGAAAACGGTTATATTATTATATTATTAATTATTGTGTTATTAATGATTACATTATCACTTATTAATATTATTATTCTTTTTGCTAATTATTAAATCCATTATTTTCTATATATTCTATGTGCTATGGTGACAGGCTCTAATTCCTTATGGTATTTGCACAAGAGAGGGTGCAAAATATGGTTGTCTTTTCTTTAAGCATTCTCGGGAGTTTCATTTAACTCTCAGGTTCCATCATAATAGGGTCTATGCGCATAAGGCATAATCACTAAATCCGAAGCTCCGGGAATGTTTACTACCACATAGACAGTGGGTGCTTAAAGAAAAGACAACCATATTTTGCACCCTCTCTTGTGCAAATACCACAAGAAATTAGAGCTTGCCTGTTACCGAGCACGTAGAATATTTAGAAAATAGTGGATTTAATAATTAGCAAAAAGTATAATAATATTAATAAGTGATAATGCAATCATTAATAATACAATAATAAATAATATAATAATATAATCGTTTTCAGTCTGCCAGTCCGCGTCCGCCGGTCCGCGTCCGCTAGCCCGCTTCCGCCAGTCCGCGCCCGCCTTTTATCTACACCCATTCTTCGCTAGTTTGATCACGCCTTGGTTATCCGCATTAATCATTGTGCTGTCGCAATTTTGGAGTATGCCTATATCGTTGCACAACTGCTTTAGAAATGTAGCTTCCTTTACAGCCTCGGCTAGAGCTATGTAGTCTGCCTCACAAGTCGAAAGTGCTACTGTCTGCTGCTTCTTACTCTTCCGGGATACCAGGGGTCCACCCTCAAACAGCAAAAAACCGTATCCGGATATGCTCTTTCTATCGCTAACGTTTCCTCCCCAATCTGAATCACTGTATGTATTTTATCAGTTCTAAGGGGTCCTCACTCTTTCTGAACTTAAATTAGGTGTTCCTTTTACATATCTTAAGTCATGTTTAGCTGCATTAAGTGAGGCAACCGTTGGTTTGGACAAGTACTGAGACAGTTCTGTAACAATATGACATAAGTCTGGCCTAGTACCGGTGATAATATGCATTAGACTCCCAACTATCTGCCTATACAAGTTAGGATTCTCTAAGTGGGGTTACTCCATGACCATTCATTTATCATGTTCTAGAAGTGATGGTGTTGCTGTGGGTCTACAGTCTTTCATGTTAAGTTTTGCCAACACTTTTGCTTCATCAGAACATTTAAATTCAGTCCCTAAACATCCAATGTAAAAACGCCTAGGTCTTTCATTTTGAAATGCTTACACAAACCATCTTTCACGCTTTTCAATAGAGTTGAGTTGCTTGCCGAAATTATTAAGTCATCCACGCAAATGATCAGTTTGATATATTTTTTTCTCTTCCCATCAACAAACTTCGTGTATAAACAAGGGTCTGCAAGGGATTAACTAAATCCGTCTTTGGCCAATTGATCATGTAATGTTTCATTCCAATTTCTACCGATTATGATTTTTGGCACTTCACTAGATGCATGCAGGTAAATTCTAGAGGTTTTAAAGGGTTTTGTCAACTCCGACATCGCTATGATCAAAAAATTTTACACATTTTACCCGTTATACTTTCATGCTTCCCGGGTAGTAAACCAAATACGCAGGGCTTCCCTTATCATATCCCACAAAAATTCCCCTTTTGCTTCTCGGATCAAGCTTTTTCGGGTCTTGTATATATGCCTAACAAAGCATTGAGTACGAAATTTGCCAAAAAATACGTATATTCAAAAGCCCGGCGACTACGAGAGCACAGATTAATACCCAGATATCTCTCTTCTGACTAAAAAGCGTAAGCGATTCGTCACTGCGCATCGCTTGCTGCGCATGCTTAGCAATTTACTTATTTGTAAACATTTAAATGTACACATGCACATATATACGCATGCAAACATGCATCATCACACCGGCCATGTTTATTATGATTCAATATATTAGTTTGCAATATGCTGACTAAATTCTTTTCTGTGTCATCCATTTTTTAAACCTAAAAAAAAAGCGTTACCTTTGTGTCCGGCAAATTGTCCTTGACAATTTTGATGCACGGAGCGGGAAAAAACTAAACTAACCTGTTACCTGCCGCCGTGAATGATACAACTGACCTGCGCGTGCGTGATGCTCTCTCCTACAACTTCGTACTACGTCTTACAACTCCGTAACATTCTAGGCTGATAACGAAGTAGAATTACTCCGGCGTCAGCGACGGAGTTGTCGCCTAGATTTTGTTTTGTTTTTGTTTCTGTTTATATTTCGTCGTGGCAAGTGTGTTTTGGCGTGAAATATACTAGTATTTGAAATCTCAAATGTTTATTTGTACCCAGTATTTGACGATGGGACGCTCACTGAAGAGCGTATGTAATACGTCAAAGTTTTGTCTCGCAAGAGTTGTGGTGCACTACTCGAAATCTTTAGCGAATTTCCGATGCGCGATTTCATTCCGCTCGCATGAAACGGAAATTTCTCGAATAAACCGTTCTTTTGATGCTGTTCGATTAAGTTTAGGTTTAATTGGGGTAAGAATATATTTAATACATGTAGATTCTGGTTCTATTTTGATACTATCGCTTAACTTCTATACGTTTTGTGGCCCGCAAAAGCCGGCTAGACACAATCTTATACGAAAAAGCGATGATCGGAGAGCGTTGAATCTTGTCCTGATTTTCGGAAAATATCGTGAGGCCGAAGTGTGCTTGAAGTTAGCACGAAGTGTGCTTGAAGTCAGCACAAAGTGCGCGAAGTTTGTCGGGTCAGCGATCCTTCACAACTCGTGCATACTGAAAATCGTACGCACTCGCCAACCATGAAGTAATCTCTATATATCTTTTGCATGTCGACATGCATCCAAACTAAATCTCTTTTATGTACAAATATGAATATATTATAGAGCTACCATTGTTGAACTAATCCCTACAGACAAAGCATGCTTAAACCCTACAACCTCAATTCCTCGTCTATTGGCTAGCCACATGCATGTACGCATTGAGTATATGTATACCTCTCGTTAAAGTACGATGTGTTTCTGGATGTCGAACAACATTTAGCGGGCTCACAACACTTCTATACTTTTAAAACACGGTGTGTTGTCTGAATATCGAACAACATTTAGGTTCGCAAGGCTTCTAAATCAATGAGTATAAACTGTTTATGTTCAGAAGCTTTATATTCAAGACTGAGACGTGCGTCTCGCCGGAGTTAACGCTAGAGCTTGTTCACTATTATTCGATATAAAAGCTACGAAGCTCGCAATTTTCTTACTCGCTATTCTATAGAATTTCTTATTTCTTATTACAAAATAACATACCCTTTTATCGCGGTCTGTAATAAGAAAGTGGGTAGGTCAAGAAATACATGAAATCCCGTCTTAAATTCAATGATATTTGCAAACGTTTCATCAATAAATTAGTTAGCAATTCTGTATACTATAGCGCAATAACCATGCATACACATTGACTTCATTACAATCGCATCTGAGCTTGTCGCGCTGGAGCAAATTACTGTTATGAATTGGGTTTCGTACCTTCAATTCTTTATACAATACAGCCACGATACAGCGTCGTACATAAACAAATAATTTCGATAAATTTTAGTGATCGTCGGGTCCTACAAAGCTGCATGATCTGCGATCACGAGATCAAATACTCAACGGGGGAATTTCCCAATTATTAAACGAAAGTAGCTCCCAGGCTTTTTAAAATCTTACGTATTTCTACGCATTGAATATCCGCAAATATTTGAAAACGCTTTTTAGAGTAGAAATTTTGAAGACGCAACGAATCCCGATACGTGTGGACGTCTGTAATCGCAACGAATAGAAAACAATGATGTAATTGCCGAAATTTGATATCCACTTGCACAAGACACACTGCATGTGGTAGAATTCAAGCGATTATGTGGAGTCATTATATGGAATAATTATGATTATGTGGAATAATTTCCTGTAATTATGATTATGTGGAAAAATTTCGTGCATTATTGCCTTCGATCAATTGAATATTTTCATCTAAAATATCAGGCTGACTAATATAGAGAAAGCGTGCTACCCAGCGACGACCTATTGCAAAGCCAGTGGCCAAAAATGCGGGGTCAAATCTTAATGCCGGGTCAAAATCTTTACTTGATTAGTAGCCGTTTCTACAGTTTTTAACATTTTAGCCTTTAGAAATCTCAACCGCATTATTTTACAACACGCGTTCAGCAACTAACAACTATCGAGTTCACGTCAGAGCAGGCGTCTTGTTCACTATCATTCAATATAAAAGCTACAAAATTCACAATTTTCTTACTCGCTATTCTATAGGATTTCTTATTTCTTAATACAGAATAACATATGCTCTTTTATCGCGGTGTCTAATATGAAAGTGGCGCAGCCGCGCAGGTCAAGAAATACATAAAATTCCGCCTTAAATTCAATCATATTTGCAAGCGTTTTGTCAATAAATTAGTTAGCAATTCTGTATACTATAGCGCAATAACCATGCATACACATTGACTTCATTATGCTCGCATCTGAGCTTGTTGCGCTGGAGCAAATTACTGTTATAAATTGGGTTTCGTACCTTCAATTCTTTATACCATACAGCCACGATACAGCGTCGTACATAAACAAATAACTTCGATAAATTTTAGTGACTTTAGTGATCGTTGGGTCCTACAAAGCTGATCTGCGATCACGAGATCCAATACCCGATGCGGGAATTTCTCAATTATTAAACGAAAGTAGCTCCAAGGCTTTTTAAAACATTACGTATTATTACCAATGATTATTACGCATTGTATATCCGCAAACGTTTGAAACTCTTTCTAGAGTAAAACTTTTGAAAACGCAACGAATCCCGATACGTGTGGACGTCTGTAATGGCAACAAATGGAAAACAATGGTGTAAATAGCCGAAATTTGATATCCAGTTGCACAAGACGCACTGCATATGGTAGAATTCAAGCGATTATGTGGACTCATGTTATGGAATAATTATTACTATTATACATTATAGTAGTAAAAGCAATTTGATTGGCTAATAGTTGACAGATAGCAGATAACTGAGTTATCTGCAAGTTAGCCTGCGGTAGTTAACAAGCGGTATTCATTTTAATTTATTTATGTATTAATAATTGATGTATTTTTAGATGTTGCTATTAAATAAGGTTTTTCATTCGTTAATACTATGTTTACTATTCTTCAAATGTATAATAAAACAATTATTGAATTCGGCTCTTGTGATATGCAGAGTTATCAAGGTCTCGGTAAGCGTTATCAGCGTCGTCTTCGGCTTGGCTGATAACGCTTACCTCGACCTTGCTAACTCTGCACCTCATCCAATAATTGTTTATTATGTGCATAATTATATTATGTGGAATAATTTCGTGTAATTATGATTTTGTGGAATAAATTCATGCATTATTGCCTTGGATGAATTGAATATTGTCAGCTAAAATATAGGGCTGACTTATATAGAGAAAGCGTGCTACTTAGCGACGACCTATTGCAAAGCCAGTCGCCAAAAATGCGGGGACAAATCTTTTTAAAGCGGGGTCAAAATCTGCATGAAAGAGCTTATTTGATTATTAGCCGTTACCACAGTTTTTGACATTTTAGCCTTTAGAAATATCAGCCGCGTTATTTTACAACACGCGTTCGGCAACTAAAAATTATCGGGCCTATAATTTCGTGCAATAGCGCATGCTTTGAAACAATTCTAGCGTATTCGTATCAAAACTTACTTTTAGATTGTTGGTAGTATAGTTGCATTGCAAATTCCTAACACTACAAACAGCCAACATTTCCTTTACGAAGCACAAAAATTAACAATGTTAAAAAACATCTGAAGACACTTGATGTTAGGAAATCGCCCAGGCTGGATTTTAAACTGTTGAAAATAACCTCAGATGTAATAACACCTTCACTGACAGAAATTTTTATCCAGTCTATTGTGACTGGAATTTTTGCCTACGATTGAAAGGAAGCTAGAGTGTCAACCTGATGCAAAAGCGGCGATAAAACTGATCTAGGTAACTACAGACCGATATCGATCCGACCAACAGAGTCCAAAATCTTCGACACAGTTATTTACGACCAACTTTATGACGCAATCATACCTGCTACCTGAACATCTGATTTCCTTTTGAAAAGCGAATTATCCGAATATTAACCAACTTTGATTTTCGTGCGCATACAGCGCCTCTATTCGGTGAACTAAAATTTCTTGATATTGATAATTAAAATTCCTTCCATACCGGTACCGCAAAATTCATGTTTTTGTTTCACAATCATCTGCTTCCTTTAACATTCCATGCACTATTTATTTGTATCTTCCGACCAAATACATAATTACAACACGACAAATGCAAGTTCATATCGTTCCTATGGATGTAAAATTAATGTCAGGCGGTTTACTTTCCTTTATTAAAGTCCAAAAAATTGGAATTCTCTTCCTGAGGATACCAAAAATATAGAGTCTTACAATTGCTTCAGGAGTAGAATGTTAAAACATCTACGGCAGTCTTAATTCTACAAAAAATATTGATTTTATCCACGTCTTAAAGAGTCCATAATCTCTAAAATCAAGGTTTAAAAGATTGACTTGGCTGTTTTTGCATTTTTTTTAAATGTCAAGTTTTTATTGATTTGAATTTTCATTAGTTAATAACTTTAATAATTTGCTTGCATGCTAGTTGAAATGGCTAAATTTGGATATAATTTTATTACATGTAATGGCAATTCAGTTTACATTATATATTGTAACATGCATGGACAGTTAAAGACTTCATTATCCAAGATTGTAAGTATCAAATAAGTTGTAGTGTGATTTTTATTATAAATAAAAGATCTCATTTCAATACTAAATATCCAATGTACTTTCACTGTGTAATGTTTGTATGCAATTTTACTTGTTATGTCCTGCAACATGACATATACTATGCCCAAACAACAGTATGTTATATTACAATTTTGAGTGATGTTAATTTGTAAAGAGAGCTCGAAATGCGAAGGAAACGTTAGCATATCGTAAGAACTGTTTGCATTTGACAACATTAGATGCCTCAGGAGTAGAATTGCATTGCAAGTTGCGAGAAAAATTGCATAGTGCAACATCCCCTTAAGTATCTCAAATGAAAACAACATTTGCTATTTTAGCTCAAAGCGTAACTAAACGTTATAAATTATAAACTAGACGTTATAAATTATAGACCCGCCAGTTACCTCTGTTACTGCACAATGACATTAAAAAACCCCATATATGTTTAAAATATTTTCTAATAATTACCTTCTCTAACTGGTTGCAATTGAATGTTTTTAACATTTTGAATTTTCTGACGATGTTTTATGGAGCTTTTGAGGATAACTGCAATTTCAACATGACCAATATAAATACGCCATTCAATAAGACTCATTTGCCTTCCTTCAACAAGAAATGTCCCAATTCTCCACACAGCAATATCCTTTTCCAACAAAAAATTGACCAAGACAACTGAATTGTTCACAATAGCCATCTCCAGGATGTCAATACCAAGAGAATGAAAGTTCTTTTTACTTTCAAGAGTTACGTCAGAACCCTGCTCATCTAAATACTGGACAATTTCCAATGTACCACTATCCACAGCAATGTGCAATACTGACGATTCATCAGCATCTTTACCATTCACATCAGCACCGTGCTCAACCAGATATCTCACAATTTCCATCGCACCTTTAGTCACAGCAGAGTGCAGCACTGTCTTCCCGTTAGACTTCTTTCCATTGACATTCCTTTAGGAACAACATTGTGCAAAACTGTCCGTCCTGCAGTATCCTTGTCATTTACCCTGGCGCCATTCTTGCAAAGATATTTTACAATTTCTGTCGTACCATTAGAAACAGCAGCATCGATAACTCTCACCTTTCAATATCCTTGCCATCTACATTTGCACCATTTTCAACAAGATATTTTACTATTTCCAGCGTACCTTCTGTAGCAGCAGAGTGCATCACAGTCCACCCATTTGTATTTTTCTCATTAACATCAGCGCCATTTTCAACAAGATATTCTGCCATTTCAAGCTTTCCCACAGTAACAGCAGTGTGCAGCACAGCAGTGTGCAGCACTGTCACCCCAGAATTGTTTTTGCCATTTATATCAGCGCCCTTTTCAACAAGATATTTTACCATCTCTACAGTACCTTTAAAGAAAGCAGTGTGCAGCAATGTCCACCCATCAAGATCCTTGCTATTCACGTTAGCGCCTTTTTCAAGAAGATATTTTACCTTCTCTAGCGCACCTTTAGTAACACCTGTGTGCAGGACCGTCACTCCGCCGGCGTTCTTGCCATTTATATCAGCACCGTTTCTTTCTTTAAAAATACAAATAACTTGCCTATTAACATGTTATATGTTGAAACAGTTTCTAAATTGATGTACGACATTAATCATAATTCAGCGCCTAAAAACGTAATGGATCTCTTTACTCAAGTTGCTACTGTTCATTCCTACAATACCAAATCCTCTGCTACTGGTAACTATGAGATAAAATTTTCTCGTAAAAATCAACAGCATAATGCTTTCTCTAGAGTTGGTGCTAAGGTATGGAATTCTGTTCCTGAATATCTCCGTAATCTTAAAAAAAAGGATTTCACTAGGAAAATTCGTACTTTACTAGTCGAAATTATGAATAACGAAGATGACTATGTTGACCTCCCCATGATTTTGCAGAGTATGTCTGTTTGATTTTATTTTTAATATTTCATGGATATGTTACTAACAGTATATTTTTCATTTTGAATTTCGAATAATGTCTCTATACTTTGTCTGTTCGCGTCTATAAACAATAAAATTGTCTGCAATTAATTGTAATTATAGTTATATGTGTAAATTATACTTCATGCCCGCCTCTGATTAGCTATTGCTATTTGCGGGTCATGGTATTTTTATGTTATGTATTTCATTGTATTGAATAAAATTGTATTGTATTGTATTGTATTGTATTGCACCTTTTTTAAAAAGATGTTTCACTATTTCTAGAGTGCCTTTAGAAACAGCCTTGTGCAGCACTGTCACCCCTTCAGTGTCCTTGCCATTTACATTAGCGCCATTTTCACTAAGATATATTATCATTTCTAGTGTACTTTCAGTAACAGCAGAGTGCAGCACTGTCCACCCGCCAGTATCCTCGCCATTTACCTTAGCGCCCTTTTCAACAAGATATTTTACCATTCCAAGCGCACCCTCTGTAACAGTGGAGTGCAGCACAGTCCACCCGTTTGTATTTTTGCCATTTACATCAGCGCCCTTAATTCTCAACCAGATATTTTACCATTTCTGACGTACCTTTAGTAACAGCCGCGTACAGTACTGTCCAGCCGTCGGTATCCTTGCCATTTACATGAGCGCCATTTTCAACAAGATATTTTACCATTTCTAGCGTGTCTTCAGTAACAGCACTGTGTAGCGCTGTCCAACCACTATGATTTGTTGCATTTATATCAGCTCCTTTTTCGACAAGATATTCCGCGCTTCCTAGCGTACCTTTTGAAATAGCAGCGTGAAACACTGCCCACCCGCCAGTATCATTTCCATTCACATCAGCACCACATTTTTCAACTAAATATCTGACAATGTCTGTTACACCATCATCAACAGCATGATGTAAAGCAGTTTTGTCCGACTCATCTTTAATATTTATGTCAGCACCACAATCTTCAACAAAATATTTCACAATTTCTAACGATCGAGACTGTATTGCACTTTTCAGAGCGACACTATCTGCGTGGAAATTTTGTTCTGGACCATTGTGAACAAAATATTTAACAAGATCGACTAAACCATTTCTCGTTCCAATCCATAAAACTGTTCCACCATCCTCGTGCTTGAAGTAAACGTCTGCTCCGTGGTCAATTGAATACATGAAAATTTCTTTATCAACTGGATTGACTACAAAAGTACGCCAAAACTGCAGTTTTCTTTCTTCAGTAACATTTATTCCTCCACTTGCCTCTTGATTTTTATCAATACCCAAATGAAAATCAACATAATTTTTGCTGAGTGAAATATAACAAATTGCGAGCTCTTTCTATTTTTTTCATATTCTAATGTTCAATATACGGCCAAAGTGTAGGTTTAAGTTTATAAGTTTAAAAGTTAGTTGTGGTGATTAAAATTTCTAATTAAGAATTATAAGTTTGAAACTTATTTGTGGTAAACATATTTTTGCTGCCTTGTTGACCACTAGTGTAATAGATGTATTTTTTGACATTTTTTGGTAACGACAGTTCAGTAACTGAGAGAGACTTCAAGTTTGGTACTGCGGATGTGAAACAATTAGGACTGGGGCGAGACACCTGAGTGAACAACAGGTGCAGACTAATTCTTTGTATTCAAAAAGCTTAAACTGAGGCAAATGTTGCAGCAAAAATGTTTTTACACAGCAAAAACTTAAGGAATAATAAACACCAGTGATCTTAAGGAATAATAATCGTATTATTCTGTAGTAGGAACAGAATGAAGATCGTAGTAACAAAACTCACTTCATTACGCAACGTTACATGTACGAAAATCGTTTTGCTAGCAAGGGAGAGGGAGACTGCAAAAGTTTGAAACTTACGAAACACGAAGATTCGGGGTATAAAATTATACGGGATTCATTTGAAAAGATAATAATTTAGTATTTAATTGCGACCAATGGACAAGATACGATTTAGCAGTAGTCTGTGGTCAAATGTCACTCACTCCCTATCTCTATTTCGTGCGACCATTTCCGAACTCGATCAATGGCCTCCGCAACAGGAAAGATGCGGTCAACCATAGTCCGCTGTCTGTAGTCGTCCAAAGAGTGACTGTTTAAAAGACTTAGAGAGGTAAATATAGTACACGCTTTTCGAATGCATGTCATGCTTCGACGTATCTCACGAACTAGGACACACGTAAACTGAAATACAACGACATACGACGAAATAATTATCACAAGCTAGGACGGAGCACGACGAAATACGGCGGACTTATGAAAACCGAATCACAACGGAATACGACGAACTAGGACATATAAAAACCGACTCGCAACAGATTACGACAAAATACAACAAAATACGACAAACTAGGACATACGAAAACCGAATTACAGCGGTGTGCGACGAACTATAGCTATAGAACATATGAAAACCAAATCAAGACAGAGTGCGACGAGCTAAGACACATGAAAACTACGTTAGGTGATCCTTGAAGTGAAATAAAAATCATCTGGTATAACTAGACATTCAGGAGCTGACAATGCTCACTGCTGACTGTAAACATTGTTTATCAAGTTCAAGATACCGAGAAAGCTTCTCGATGATCATAGTTTATCAAGTTCAAGATACCGAGAAAGCTTCTCGATGATTATTGTTCATAAGAACGTCGTCTATTTACACTACACTGGTTTTGAGAAGCGCTTTATAACTCTTACCGTTATAACATTCTTCGTTTTGAGTGTTTCGTCCTTGGAGCTCCTCTTTAACTACTTTCTGTTCATTGTTAACATCCTTGGATTCTTTATTTTCCAACGTAGAGATATGATCTGGTTTTCCCGAAGACTCTAAACAACGAGTTTTTTTCATGGCGCCGTCCTGCTGAGGCATCACATCATTATCATTATCATCTTGCTTGGATTCGCTCATTCTCTTCATATCTATCGAATCCGCCATCTTCGAGTAAAACGGCTATGATGTAAAATAATTCGGATTTTCTATTAAAATGACACACCTGCGCAACCTGAAAATCAAAATTTGTTTTTAGGTTTCATTACCACAAATTCAGGACTTCAATTACCATAATGTCAGGATTTCGCAATCAAAGATGGCTGCCTTGTTATCATCCTCGAGCCGGTGCGGAGCACCGTGCGAGGGTACTAATTCCGCCCGGAGATTAGGAATTACACCCGCGGACCTGGGAGAACATAGTTGAATCCAAGGTCGCCTAAATTTGGACCATGGACGTTCAATGGTCATGGTACTTGTGCGCATGCACGAAATGCGAAAGAGTGTAGACTGGTGATCAGCAACTTCCTGATTGGCTAAGACGAAACGTTTGTGTTTCAGTGAAAAACGTCAGCAATTTAACTGTCATTTTGCAAACTATTAAATGTTTCGAAAACACAATATGAAATGTGGAATCAAATAACAGATAAAACACTGGGAAAAGTTTAAAATATTATCAGAACTGGAAGAATTAGCGGTGAAAAGGAACAATATAATCCTTGAAATAGTAGGAGTCTATTTTGTTTATTTCGAGGTTATTTCGTGTTTGCTTTACGAATACATTTTATGACCTTGGTACAATATGTCATTTTGCTCTGTTGTGCGAAGACGTGACCGACTATTTAAGGCTTTACATCATCGTTTTAACTTCCAAAAGAGTCCTTAAAAGTGTAATTCGGAGTTTTAATATAACAAATATCACTTTAAAGGTTTATAGATTCGACTGCAATCACTGCATGAATTTAATAATCGAAAAACAACATTCGACGTTCACTGCTTGGTTATTAGGGACTTTAATATAGGAGACTACCGACTACGGCAACGGTTCGACACTACCGGGCATTTTGACCAAAGTCTTGGTACGCATGCGCGGGAACAAATAGTCACCGTAGTAAATTTTGCGACGGTGTGTTGTTACAAGAATTAGCGTACTCTGCAGCACGTGTGGAGTTCAAGTAAGTATTTTTTTAGCTTTTCACGTTTTTTCCGTTAAGTTAGCAAAATTTAAGGACTTGCTGAAATGTTTTTTTCACGTTCTTCATACGCAAGTAGGTTTTCAAATGCTTTTTTTTTGTTAAAACTATGTCGCGACGATTGTTAATTTTGCTAGGATGCCTTTCAATGCCAAAGACCCTTCCACTTCCAGGTGAGTTTTTTACTTTCCAGGTTTTGACCAAAAATATTGAATAAAATATTTGTTTTATGTTAGTAACAGCTAAATGTCAACAAATATTTGTCAGATATTTTCAACAACAATATAGTGCCAGCAGTATTTTGATTTTGATTTTTTTTAGTTCTCCACACAGTTTCACCCGAAACAAGTAAGTAGTTAAGTAGCATACATTTATGATGTATAGTATGTGGTCTAGTAGTGCTCTAAAAGATGAACTGATAGCAAACAATGCCAAACATGAAGCAATTATTGAATACCAAGCCAATACAGTGATACCCTTTTGATAATAATGCGCTAATTATCGAAAGGGTATATTTAGTTTTCATAATAAAAACTGTTTCTTATAGCTACAAGATTTTTTACATGAAACTACAGTTTCTCCAATCTTAAAGATGGCTTAATCTATGGGAGCAGCTGATCCGATAGCCTTTACAGGGTAGAATAAGATAAGCCAGTGGAAATAATTGCCCTTTCCTGCTAGTTTGACTAATGGTACATACATTAAGATGAAACATATGTAAATCATGGTCAAACAACTGTTAATTGCCATTGCAACTGGTTGCTATGTGAAGTCAGTTCACATTTTGCAGTGCAGAATGTTGTCACATTTATTGTCATATACGTAATTACAGAGTGTTCCAAATTATATATAATCAGTGAATAATCTAAGTGTTGGATTTGAAATAGGCATTTTTCAAACAAAAATGCGCTATTGAAGCACTTTTAAACAAGAGGAAAGTTTATTTTTTAAAACCTAGTTTGACATTGACCAATGTTCACATCCTTGGTGATTATTTATTTCAGTTACTCTCCTCCCCACCCCTGATTTCCACATTAGAATGCAGGCATTAGTTTTCCCCAATCTTTCAATGTTTGTTTTCAGTTCTAAGGATGGACTGAAATAAAATTTTTCACAAGCTGTTTACAACAAAAGATGAGAAATAATATATGTAAACACTTCTGAAGAACTGAGATATGATATAGTTTTAAAAATTGGATAGTTTTGTAACTATTTTCAAATATAGCAAAGTTAACTAACTTTTCCTTTTTCTAAAGTAAGATATTTATATGTTTTTCTTAATTGTTCTATAGTGGGACATTCCGTTGGAATGAATCGAAAGATGTGGTGTTTCTTCGTGAGGTGCGTGTCAAAAAGCTGGGCAAAAATGGTCTGAGCTTGCTTCTCACATTAATGAGTATGATGGTTTTAAAGAGATTCCTAGGGATCAAAGAAGTGTTAGAGAACATTTCAACAAACTAATAGCAGAATTCAAATCAAAAATGAGAAAAGAGGAGAATTCAACTGGCTGCAATCCTGAGCAACCAACTGAGAAAGATATCCTTCTTGAAGACATAGTAGAGCTAATGAATTCACAGCCAAAAGAAAGTGAGAAAAAGCATGAGAGTGAAAGGAAGAAAGCTCTCGATGTTCGAAATCAAGCCATGAAAACCTGGAGCAAGTCTATGAGACCTTGTGATGATAATGATGAAAACGATAGTGATCACAGCAGTGATAATGACAAGTCTACTAAAAGGCGAGGCAGGAAAAAACGACGTAGAACTAGTGATGCTTTTAAGTATTTGGAGGTAAAAAGTGCTCAAGAAGCAAGCATAAGGAAGGAGGAACTGCAGTTACGAAAAGAGGAAAAAGAAATTGAGCAAGAAAAATTCAGCTGGAAGCAAAGTTGGAAGCAAAGCTACAAGCAAAGTTGGAACAGATGCAGCAGCAAATGCAGCAATAACAACAACAAATGCTTATTCAGCAGAATTTAATGATGGCCATCTTGGGTAAACTTGCAGATAAAGAAAAGTAAAGAGCTATTCATTATATATACTGCTATTTCTTATATAATAAAATATTCGTTAAAATATGTTATGTTGTTATTTAACATATTATTAGTTGTACAAATTTGAGACATGTTATTATATTGGAAAAGCTTGAATTTTTATGCTAAGTCTATTTTGTATTTTAGGGCATAAGAGAGCAGGGGCTAAACGAATACACCCTTGTGGGATAAGTACAACAAAAGTACACAGGACTCGTTGGATTGGATAAGTAAGATGGTCCACATCTAAATGAGTTCCTTTTTTCAAAATTCCAATAGAATTAATTGTATTGTTGTTACATCTTGAGTTTTGGGACAAATGTCAAGTATCCTTGCTCTTATTAGTTGAAGATGCAAGGCAATTGCTGCTTAATATGCAAGAGTGTGACACACATGCCAAATGGCATAATGAAAATAGTGCATTAGTAACTTACTAATTCTGTTTTGATAATTGAGGGTTAGAGATATTAAAAATTCAGATTTTTTATTATCAACAATTTTCAAAAGAGCTTTAACAATTTACACTAGAATTTTCATCAACAAATTTCATTACAATGTTCATTAACAAATTTCATTACAACGCTCACTAAAAAATTTCATTACAATGTTCATCAACAAATTTCATTACAATGTTCATTCACAAACAAATTTCATTTGAATTTTCGTTAACAATTCTCATTACAATTTTTAGTAACAATCTTCATTAGAATTATTTATTGTAAGTAATCCTGAAGGGTGGGGGGTTCTAGCTGGAAATACTTTGAGGTGTTATTACCATAAAGGCAAGTCAGGACATTTCTAAATAAAGCACTGACTATATATTGTTTCCCAACAGCACTCATTCCTATTTTCAAATTCTTTTTATAACAATGAATTTAAAGTAGTTTGACACATCGCCAAATAGCCATTCAACCGATATTCGCACTTCGTTCATTGTCTTGTTAAATGCTTTCATCTCATCAGTAAGATCTGGAACATCACCTTGACGATATGGTCCCATGAGTTGAGTTCGCAGTGGATAGGCTGGATCTCCATACAAACAAACATCATTCCCTGCTAGGTTATGTGCAAATGTTTCAAGAACTGTTAGAAGATTGGAATCTCGTAGCATTGCTGCATCATGTCTACAGCCTTCTATACTACTGATCCAAACAGATTGCCAATTAGGCCATTAGGAAGGGTAACTGATTGGAATTTAAGGGCATGAACCCTTTTGTGCCCATTGTATCTGTCTGGTCGAAATATAGCTCGTACTGTGCCGTCAATAAAACCAAAACAGTTTCTCAGGGGGCATCCTTTGTCTGCAATTGATCGACAATATTGGTCAAGATATGCAGGTGATAGAAAAAACTGATCCCACCCTTACAAAAATGTTCTATAGAATATTCCATTAAAATTTTTCACTGAATATCCTATAGAATATTCTAAGGGATTTTGGAACCTATTCTATGGAACGTTCTACAACACGTTCTATAGCACCTTTAATAGAATATTCTATAACATATGCCATGTTTTATAGAATACTCAATAGAATATCCTTCAGAACATTCATTAGAATGTTCTATAGAATACTGGTATTCTATGGAACATTCTAACACATATTCTATGACATCCTATATGAAATGTTCCATAAAATATTTTCAATCTATGGAATATTCCATTAATGATCCTATTGAATATGTGATAAAATGTTCCATAGAATATGTATTCTATAGTATATTTTATAGGATAATCTATTAAATATGCTATTGGATGATAAATGGTATATTCAACATTCGTCCATGTTTCGACTTTGAAATATATCACTTTATAACAACATAATCAAAACTTCTTTCTGCCAAGAGTGAGACATACAAACAAATAAAATATTCCCAAATATATGTAACAAATTTATTTACTTAAAGTTCAATTGATGCAAAGATTTAATGAAAATGCCTTGCTTAAATTACATATAAATAAATCTAGAGATTAAAGAAATTGAAATACATATATTATACAACAAAGAATAAAAAACAAGTCCTATAAGTGTCCATATAACTTTAATCTGCATGTAGAACTCTAGTTCTGGTAATTAAGTCTGTCAAATAACCATTTTGTTTCGTGGATAAAACAACTGCAGCCGGTTGTTTGAAGGCTGTTTAGCTTAAATTGTAGTTAAGTAAAATTATATACATTTCACACATTTTGAGGAGGATTCAATTGAAATATTATGCACTAAGTAATTGAAAACAATATGGTGTCACTGAAATTGAAATATTTAGCTTGGTTTTTTTATGAATGTATAAATTTATTCAATATTTTCTAGATAAAATTATTACCATACTGCAGTTTTCCCACCAAATAAAATGACTGTGCAAGAAAATAGCAAAAATATAACTAGGCTATTAAACTAAATATATTTACATGTACAGAACATGTAAATAGTAGAAAATGGAATGTCATATAGTTACTGATGTCCAGATGCTTTCAACTTGGTTTTCTCAACTTGCACAATATTAATCTTTGGTGCCATAACTTGTCATATGTCTGCCTCTTTTCCCTCAAAACTTTTTGCACTATACTTTAGACACAGCTAGAAAAAGTAAAACTCATCAATAACTGAACCAAGATATGTATATAAGATATATTAACTTAGACCAGACATAATTACTAACAATTATACTGCTTACCATATATACTCTTAACTTTCTCTGGCTCTGGTTTTGCATCCTTTTCTTTGAATTAAGCTAGGCGTTTGAAGCCTTTCCAGTGATGGAATGAGAGCAAAGTTGTTGTTGCATCCACGGCACTGCATAAACAAAACCTTTCACATTTAATATTGCTTTAATAGAGCTCCATTTTGACCTTTGGTTAGTGTGATGCTTGGACAAAAGGAAATCTGTAAATTTTAACAGTAAACACACAATTAAACACTTGAGACCTAGCTTATATTTAATTCAATTTTAATGATATATAAAATTTATCTAGAGCTAGTGCAAATGTCTTGACAGAAATAATTTTTAGTTGGAATGGCTCTATTTATGGTGGTATAAATAAAAGGTGTAAATAAAATGTTCAAATAAAAAGTTTAATCTAAAGGTGAATAAAAATTTATGAGATTAATTATAATGGTATACAGAACATATGTTGCCTATACAAACATATAGCATTTATAGCATATACAAAACACACTCACCACTGAATTCCAATACTTTAGATACACATGTTTTTGTAGATGGGTCAATGAACTTTTGATTATTTTTTTAACTTTAGAAATATCTCATTGCCATGGCCTTTCTTTCTCACGATCCTAGTCACCTTTCACGCATTTACAAAATTATCCATATCTTCTGATTCTTCTCGCATACTAAAGCGCGTTTCACCACCCTCCTATGATTCCTCTTTGACAAATTCAAAGAATGCGTATTTTATGTTAAAATACGAAAGAAAAACGCGCTAAATTCTACCAGTATAGTTATAAACGTTGAATCAACGGATGACAAACTACAGACAAATACGCGCTCAAAATTTGAAAATAATGCGTGGCGGTTAAACAAGTCCCACATAACCTTGCGGCCTTTTTTGGGCAAAACGCCCGCCATCTAACCTGCGAACGGGCATATTATGAAACAGATATGACTCATATGAGATATGTCATATGTGTGAAATATTCGTGAATTGTCTTTACAAAACGAATGATTTCTGCTGAGAATTTTAACTTTAAGACTTTAAAAGTATGTCGAGAGAACCTTACAAAAAATGCGAATATAATTCTCGACCAATGAATAGTGTAGTAAAAATGTTATATTTTAAATTGCATAAAGGTCTCATTCTGTATAACATATATTCTATAGAATATTGTGTACAGCATATTCTATAGAATATATTATTGGATATTTAATGTGAATGTGCAATAGAATATTCTATAGCATCTCTAAATTCTATAGAATATGGCAATGGAATATGCTATAGGATAAGAAGTCCTATAGAATATTCTATGGGATTTAGAATATGTTATAGCATATTCTATAGGATTCTATAGAACGTTTTCGTAAGGGCAAGCAGTGAGACGAAAGGCATGGTTGTTGTAGATCCAGTCAAGCACTGTATTTGAAATCATGCTAATTCTGATACTGGACGGGAGAACATCTTCACCAGATGAACATAGCGACAAGGGTATGTAAGTCTACTCAATAGTCAGCAAAGACCTTCCAAACCACCACAAACCGTCCCTTGTGAGCATATGAATCGGTCAGGAATTCGCAAACATTCTGCTAGAACAGGAATATCCTCTTTCGACACTCGAAACTCGGCTAGACATTCACTTGAATCAATATTTTCTAAATTAAATGGTTGAAACTCCCAGTAAGGGTACAAAGGATTTACTGATTTGTACAATTCGTGAAGAATTAAAAACTCTTCATCGTCCAGAAATCCATCAGCAAATCCGTAAATGACAGCATCTCTAACTTCTTGAAACGCCATTTGATTTTTGACAATTTTTCCTGTTAACCGTACTCATGTTTCGTATCTTAAACATAAACAAACCAAAACCAATACTCAAATTTTCGAGCTATTCAAGCGTGCTCGCCCCAGTCCATATAATTTATTATAAAATCACTCACGTCCGACTGTTGCCGTAGTCGGTAGTCTGCTATCTTAAAGTCCCTGTTTATATTATTTGTGCGGTTTTGATGTTTTGAAGGTTTAGCGATATTAAAGTATTAACTCTCACTTAAACTGTGAAACTTAATGCAACGGAAAGCAGCAGGAAAACGGGTGATTTCACTTCACCTTTCCGACTGTGTTTGTCTCCGAAAAATTTGAAACATCAGCTATCGGCTTTACATTTAGGACATTTCATAATATTGAAGGCTAGGTCTCGCAATTGATCGACAATATTGGTCAAGATATGCAGGTGATAGAAAAAACTGATCCCAAGCAGTGAGACGAAAGGCATGGTTGTTGTAGATCCAGTCAAGCACTGTATTTGAAATCATGCTAATTCTGATACTGGACGGGAGAACATCTTCACCAGATCAACATAGCGACAAGGGTATGTAAGTCTCCTCAATAGTCAGCAAAGACCTTCCAAACCACCACAAACCGTCCCTTGTGAGCATATGAATCGGTCAGGAATTCGCAAACATTCTGCTAGAACAGGAATATCCTCTTTCGACACTCGAAACTCGGCTAGACATTCACTTGAATCAATATTTTCTAAATTAAATGGTTGAAACTCCCAGTAAGGGTACAAAGGATTTACTGATTTGTACAATTCGTAAAGAATTAAAAACTCTTCATCGTCCAGAAATCCATCAGCAAATCCGTAAATGACAGCATCTCTAACTTCTTGAAACGCCATTTGATTTTTGACAATTTTTCCTGTTAACCGTACTCATGTTTCGTATCTTAAACATAAACAAACCAAAACCAATACTCAAATTTTCGAGCTATTCAAGCGTGCTCGCCCCAGTCCATATAATTTATTATAAAATCACTCACGTCCGACTGTTGCCGCAGTCGGTAGTCTGCTATCTTAAAGTCCCTGTTTATATTATTTGTGCGGTTTTGATGTTTTGAAGGTTTAGCGATATTAAAGTATTAACTCTCACTTAAACTGTGAAACTTAATGCAACGGAAAGCAGCAGGAAAACGGGTGATTTCACTTCACCTTTCCGACTGTGTTTGTCTCCGAAAAATTTGAAACATCAGCTATCGGCTTTACATTTAGGACATTTCATAATATTGAAGGCTAGGTCTCGCTAGCTCAGGAAATATTTTGCTTCGTTTGAAATGGCGAGGGTTGCTGCATGCATATATTTCTAGTAGAATTATATAACGGGCGCGATACAAAATTTCAAATTAAAATCTTCTAGCTTACATATGGCTTTTGCGGAGTTCGATTTAAGACGGAAACTCAGAGCTTTTATGACAATTTTTTCATATTTTTATCTCACCTTTACTGTTTCCCAAGTGATGTCACCTCAGCAACTTGGTAACCATTATATTTCAAGGAGATAACGCGTTGCTGAAATGACATTACTGGGAAACTGTTAAAGGTAAGATAAAAATATGAAAAAATTATCATATCAGTGCTGAGTTTCTACCCATCTTAAATCAAAGTCCGCAACTGCATTATGTAAGACAGAAGTTGCTTTAATTTCAAATTTGTGACCTTCCACGGGAAAACATACGTTAACGCTATTTCGTTCGTTCAAAAATATCGTTCGTTATCCGTTCGTTTGCCGTTCAAACGCTTCAAGCGTTCGTTGAAACGATTTTCGAGATCGTTCATCGTTCGAAATTGCCCGTTCGAACGCTCGGGAAAAAACGTTTGAAAATTGGTCCAAAAACGTTCAACCGTTTGACTTACCGTTCGTTGAAACGTTTGCCGGAATTTCGTTCAATCGCATTGGATTTGGTTCAACATATTAGATTAAACATTTGCAATGTTACAACTTTATAGAAGAAGCGCAGAATGTGTTACACAGAAATACTCCCAGAAACGTATTCAGTTCCTTAGTAGAAGGCTTGTGAAGGGAATAGTGGGGTTATATCATTTTAGCCCAATCGAATGCTATTTTGCGCGCTTCATGTTGTTTATGCTTAGCGTCATGCAGACACATGAAGGCTATTAATATTCAGTGCATGCAATTATTTCATTAGCGTCAAATTTCACGTCGTAAGCTTTCTTTCAAAAACTTATCGTTTTTTGAATTTCGGTAATGCACTAAATGGTTAGAATTTGTGCTTTACTATACTTCTGTAGCTTCCATAGGCCAAATTTCACCGCGCGCACAAACAACGTCGCAAGCCATATATATCACCGCATTAGGAGCCATAATATGCCTTGGCAAGGTGCTAATTAAGTTGCATAATTGTTTTTATCGTGTTTACTTGTCCTGCAAAAACAGACAAATTTATTGCAAGACTCTTATAGTTTGATTCTAAAATGTTTTTCAAATAGTTGTTTCAATAATTTTTGATGCTGGTCGATTTATTTTTTCTGTGGGGCTGTTGCGAAAATAGTTTTTCAGTCGCAAAACTGACGGGGAAGTATTTTTGTGTTTCTGATCAGCATGAATACATGATATCGCGAGCCTCCGATATTTACTATAAAGTTCCTGGGATATTTTAATAGTCTATAACAATTCGCATTCGTATCTTTAGAAGCAGTAGAAGGACAGAAGTCCAAAATGTCTGGTAGAGGGTAGAAAAAGCAATGCCAATGCCAATGCCAATGGGAAACTCAAACACAAATTTCAATTCAAGAAAGCCCTAACCTAGCGAAACGATGTTGAAAACAACCCCAAAATAACTGTTCAATTCTCAATGGACGAAGCAACTTATCATGATGCAGCAAATCTAGGTATGTGGATTTTTTTTCCTATTTTTTTATATTAGCTAAGCCTAAGTTACTTGAAATTATTCCTTCCTTTTACTCACATGTTTGTGCTTATTTGTTTGATATATTTGCATTTTGGATCACATAGAACATATAGATTTTGAAGGTCTGTTAAACAATGTGCTCTGTTATATGCATACAAAGCACACTACTCGAATTTACACTCATATATACATGCAATTTTTCTATTTTCTTGTAGAATGAAGACTCGTTTCGTGCAATTGGCACAACAGGAAACCTCTGCAAATTTTACTACGAGGAAAATTGTAAAAGAAATTGAAAATTTTAAAGAACGAGGCATACAGTATAGTTTAAAGAGATCAGATTCTCAAGCTAGAGGTAGCTTTATTTTTTAGTGGATACGCGGATACGTGGATACGCAGTCGTTTAATATTTTAAGGAACGGGGCATACAGTTAGTTTTAAGAGATCGGATTCTCAAGCTAGAGGTAGCTTTATTTTTTAGTGGATACGCGGATACGTGGATACGCAGTGGTTTAATATTTTAAAGAACGAGGCATACAGTTAGTTTTAAGAGATCAGATTCTCAAGCTAGAGGTAGCTTTATTTTTTAGTGGATACGCAGTCGTTTATTTATTTATTTATTTATTTATTTATTTATAAACTTGGTCGCAAGCGACAGGCAACCCCACAGAGTACTTACTCCAATTATGGTATGCCTTATAAATTACAAACATAGTTATTACAGTACTACATAACTTATAGGCAAGAAATTGAGTAGAATACAGAGGATACAAGTAACTACAACAATTATTAAAATTAAACTATACAAATAGTGACTTAACAACACAGTGTAACACTAAGACTTAATAATGAACCACACAGATGACATTTAATACATACTGTTTTATAAGTTTGAGGAGTGTCTACGTCATATATTTGTTCGGTTAGGTGTCTATAATGTGACAGAAGTCCAGTTTTGAATTGGTGAACAGATAGTTGGGAGTTACGAATGTGGGTTGGTAGAGAGTTGAATATTCTTGGAGTTCTGAAATGGTAGCTGTTTTGGAATGTTAGAGTGTTCGCTTTAGGGATGTTCAAGGTGATAAGGTTAGGGTTTTCAGCTGGATTGTTTCTCGTAGCACGACCAGGTTGTTTGACAGAGATATTGGGATCAGTTGAGTTTTGAAGGTGTTTGAATAGGTGAAGGAGGTCCAGATATTCGTGCCAGTATGTTAGTGGTAGGAGTCCGCTTTTTAAGAGGCGGTCTTTGTAGCTGATTGGGGTTCTAAACGGGAGAGATAAAATAAACTTGGTCGCTCGACGTTGAACTTGTTCGATATTTTTGATGAGCATGACTGTTTGTGGAGCCCAGACTTGCGACGCGTAACAGAAGTGACTTCGTACCATGGTGGTGTAGAGGACAGAACGAACTTCTATGTCACGAACGTCGTGGCATGACCTCCTCACGAGTCCCAACATCTTGTTGGCCTTGGTGGATATTGAAGTCACATGGTGGTTCCATTTCAAGTTGGGCGTAACTATGACAGCAAGATCTTTGTTCACAGTAACCGAGTTTACGGGGTTACCCATGATATGGTAGCCGGATTCGATGGGCTTCAGGTTCCTCGTTGTTCTGAGGTGGACACACTTGGTCTGGTTAAGGTCCATTCTCCACGTATCACACCAATCGCAGATGTTGTCCAGATCACGCTGCAGTTCTTCCACATCACCAAGATTGTTGGTGGGATGAGAACACTTGGTGTATGGTGGCCGAGGGCTGCCACATAATATTTTCTTAATTTTTATGTACTTAAAATTAAAAATAAAAACAATGTTAAATTTGAAATTGAATGCAAAGTCAATCAGAGTTTTAAATACATTACAAATTGCGTAGAGTTAAAACGCAAAACAAAAACAGATTGAAAATAAAGTACAACTTAAATTGAAAATAAAAAGCAATGTACAATGAAAACTCAAACAGAAGTAAAAGTAAATATCTCTGTGGCCGAGCGCTGCCAATACCATAATACCATGCGCGCACGAGTGATGGCTCCAGTACTGAATTATATAGTTCAGTGGGTTCCAGTGTATGGTTTCGACGTGTGATCAGCGGACGCAGACGTTCAGTCACATTTCACAATCCATTCCATGTAAATAAAAACTTTAGTTGTTGTTGAATGTTGGAGTTCCTCGTTCTGGTTTAAAAGAGCAATAATGTCCGACCTTAGAGAAGCGTTGTGGAAAAACGATAATGTTCTACAAGAAGCCATGGTAAAGTATGTAAGACAAGGCCTACAAAGGCGCGAAATTTTGGATTTCCTAACTCGTGACTTTCCGCAATACACGTGGAGTCTTAGATCACTGGACAGAAGACTTCGTCATTTTAGTATATATTTCAACGATGATAGTGTAACAGTAGATGAAGTTATTCAGGCAGTTCAAACCGAACTGAAGGGGCCGGGGTTGTTATTGGGATATCGTGCAATGCACAAGAAAATTCGCCAAGAACATTGCCTCAATGTTACTCGAGATCAAGTGTACGATGTTATGAACGAATTGTGCCCGGAAGGTCTCGAAGCAAGAGGTGGCGTCGGTGAAAAGGAGCAACGAAAAAAAGGAAATTTTACCACGAAAGGCACTAATTGGGTCCACTCTCTCGACGGCCACGATAAGCTAATGGGATACCAAAATTCAACTTTCCCATTAGCTATATATGGTTGCCTGGACACCGCAAGTCGAAAACTTCTCTGGCTAAGAATATGGGTGACCAATTGCGACCCTAAGATCATTGGGAAATGGTACCTGGAGCATCTCTATGAAACACGAATAATTTCTGCCATTCTCAGAGTAGACAAAGGCACAGAGACAGGGGTGATGGCTACAATGCATTCATTTTTGAGGAGGTACCACGGCGATATGGATCCACAAGACACCGTTATTTATGGGCCATCAACAGCAAATCAAGTAAGGTTCATCTTAATGGTATTATGCATTCAAAATATATTCTAGTTTCTCTGGCTAAACAATGAAGTCTTGAGACTTTTAGATTAATGCTAACATACAAAATTGAAATATATTCCAACCACCCAATGCATCATGTCCTATATGTTGGGCATTAGCTAGTTAATGTTACTAGTATATGGTGGTGGTAGGGTTGTTGGACTAATTATTACTTTACCCCAAAGCTGTTATGTAGTGTATAGTTGCACTACACAACAGCTTTGTCATATTGGCAGCTGTTCAAATGCTTCATTGTGCATTTTCAGATTGAAAGGTGGTGGAAAGAGCTTCATCAAAGAATGGAAAAATTCTTTAAAAGTCAATTATGTTGGCTGAAAGACCAAGCCCACTACGACCCCCATAATAACACTGACAGGTGAACACAGTAACAACATATAATTAGCCTTTGTTCATAGCATCAACACCCCTCATCTTTACTATAATAAAAATAATTTGTTAGCAACTCATCATCATCAAAACATGCAATATATAATTATTTGATTTTTAATACAGAATGCTTTTAGCCTTCATCATGGTGCCACTCATACAGAAGGAGTTAGACATTTTTCGGGAAAAGGTGTGGAACACACACAGAATTAGGCTACAGAAAGACACAGTACTTCCTGATGGTGTACCAGATCATATTTACAACTTTCCTGAACAGTATTATCTTGAAGAATGTGATAAGTTACAATGTGCAACAAGGTTCATGCATTGATAATTAGCAATAAAAAAATACTGTTTGTGTAACTCACTAACCATGGAGTTATGAATCTTCTGTTTCCATCACTAGTTACTGATTATGATGACCTCAAATATTAAGATCACACTGATTTTATGAATATAATTGATCAATTGAAGGGGCTTGCTAATGGTTTTAATGTTTTTTACTTGTTTACATGCCACATGAATGTGAACTGCCACTTGTAGCAGTAAATATTTTAAATATTCTCTAACTGCAGGTTTTGAAGTAAGTGAGAACCAACTTGAAGAGGCTGCAAAAGAATCGGGTGTTCTAGATGTGCCAGGCGACTTTCTTACTGAAGAATTCAGAGCAGAATGCGAGCGCCTAATTCCAGATTATGACACAATCAAACCAGATGAATGGATAACTGCATATTTATACTTGAAGGACAAATGCAGTGTTTCAATGTAATTTTGCTTGTTATTGAAATGAAAAATTAACTCAAATCATACATATTAACTTATTACAGAACTACTGCCCATAATTGTTCTTATCGATAATAAATACCAAAAGCAAACATTTCCAACACAACCTAAAACATGTGTATATATATATATATATATATATATATATATATATATATATATATATATATATATATACATACATGCAACAGTTAATAGAATACATGGTTTAAAGAATACATCAATGGAAGGACAGTGAACATCATTAATTGTATCTTTACCCAACTAACAGCAATAGTTTTGACTAAAATTCTTTTTCATCTGTGGATTTGTGAAAAACAGAAGCATGATTAAAATGGATTTTTTTGCAAAAATACACATACACTCATATTTAATGAGCTGTATTGTACATGTATTCTATTAACTGGAACACCACATTTTCTCAGAGTTCATGTGTTTACATACAAAGACAATGTTGGCCACCAGTTCACAATGTAGGATTCACCTAGGATGTAATCATTTAGCCTTTGGCCTTAATTTAAGACCTAAGAGTTCACAATATTTATTGCAATAATGATTGTTAAAAAAGCCAATAATTGCTCCTTCAGCCAAATTACCAGTACAAAACATATAGTTACCATCATCACCCACCAGCTCCAGGGTGGCAATTTCGGGGTCGTAGAGGGTATGCCCAGCACCCTGGACATCTAAAACAATCTATTTGCCCTCGGATTTTTCATATGTGAAGTGAGCAAATGCTTGTGCCTTGTTGCAAATATCTCCATCCTCACAAATATATCCGTCATTATTAATGTATTTTACAAATTCCCCGTCTATGTACTCTTCAATTGTAACATATTTCCCTTCATCCGTTTTGCCCATAAAGACTTTTTTGTATTCAAAGATTTGCCCAAAATCTTTAATTCCATCCTTGGCAACTTTTTGCTGTAATTGTGAAGCAAAATTTTTTGCCAAATAGTGCATTTGCACTGACTTCTGTGTGTGTGTTTGTTCGGTCTCTTTTGTTTGTGTAATTGTGTCAACAGCACTTGGCAAATACTTCTTCACTACCCATGTAGTTTCTTCAAAGCCTGGTGTTATACTGGTGGCTTTAAATGCTTTTCGGAAACCACCAGCAGCAAACGGTGACTCTTCAATCATGAATTCTGCTTTTATAGGCACTGTTGACCAAAGCATGTGTTTAAAATTAAATTGAAATATAGAAATAATAGTGGATTCTTTCTTTGGAAAGGCTTTTCCTAGATGCAGCATGTCTTTTAGCGATAAACTTTTGGGGTAGAATTTGCTTTTGTTGCTTTGTTTTGATGTATTTGTATTCTTCTGAGGGCTAGGATGAGACATAGCCGTTCTGCCTGTTCGCCTGATTTTTTTCTGTGGCTATAATTAAAAGTATAAAGAAAGAATGTTCTCAGAATTCATTCCACTTGAATAAATTGGTTTTTATAAAGGGTGTGGCATCTTGTTCGCTGAATTGTGACATAGGGCGATGGAAAATTCCATAATACACTTTACACACAAAAGCAGATAGTATACTAGAGCTACATAAATTGGGTATAACGATAACTAGCTGCTTGACCTTTTTTGTGTGTTTCGCACACAAATTAATCCTGCATATTTAATAGTTTTTTGTTTGTAATAAATCAACCTGGACTTCTAACGGGAATCTTCAACCCACTATAGTCTATAGAGAAAATGTATACAGAGGAGAACACACACAAAAGACTATTATATGATTATTGCATTATTAATGAACAAACCTGATCTTCGAGAGCTAGATCTTCGACTTCATCATCGAAAATTGCGCTGACTTCGCTTGGCGTTTCGAGTTTAATGAATCGCACGTAAAATACCTTTTTGTTCGGTATTTGGCTCATAGTTTTACACGATGGGCCACGTTCGCCTGCCAGGATGTCACAGACTGTGCCTTTCTCAATTTGTCCCGCAAAATGCTTTTGGCAAGATTGAACAATGTTTTCGAACGTTAATTCCTCATAATCAAACGGCACAAATTCTTGGGGGCCGATTCGGGAATATTTCTGCTGTTTACCAGACACTTCCGAGCTCATTCTCTGAACTACAATTTCGTCCGCGACCTCATTCGACTCTCCTTTACCTTTCTTCACTTTAGCCATTCTTTTTTGCTTTTGTTGTAACTTGAACTGCCTCCAATTAGACATTTTGACAATAGCAATATTTTCCTCGCACGTGTGTGGGTATTTACGGAATGGACTGTAAATAACTATGCATATAATCATGCACGCCCGCGAATCACTCGTGCGCGCATGGTATTATGGTATTGGCAGCGCTCGGCCACAGAGATATTTACTTTTACTTCTGTTTGAGTTTTCATTGTACATTGCTTTTTATTTTCAATTTAAGTTGTACTTTATTTTCAATCTGTTTTTGTTTTGCGTTTTAACTCTACGCAATTTGTAATGTATTTAAAACTCTGATTGACTTTGCATTCAATTTCAAATTTAACATTGTTTTTATTTTTAATTTTAAGTACATAAAAATTAAGAAAATATTATGTGGCAGCCCTCGGCCACCATACTTGGTGTCATCAGCGAACAACGCAGTGGAAGACGAGGTGGTAGCCGTCAATGCAGTCGTGCAGCTGAACTGCATGAAACTTTAACATCAATAGACGAAACATTTAAATGAGTAATTTGCGTTTGTAACAAGTAAAGACGTTTATTCCCAATTTATATATGATCATTCAGAGTTTGTTTATCTGTTGACATTGTCTAAGTTTTACTCGGGAATCGGCATGCTCGACCAAGCGTCTTTGATTTAAGGTCTGTGAACTTTAAAATATTAACCGACTGCGTATCCAACGTATCCGCGTATCCACTTAAAGTAATACCTACATTTATATTACGTCATCTATGTCCCCTAAAAAATTTTGGGGTATTCTGCTACATTTGCATAAACTTATGTCGTAAATGTTTTAGTTCTTATATATTTGTAGAAGGATGAAGTACCTATCATAAAACACCGAATTACCGCTGACTTATTCATTGCTTTACAATTTTCGACTGCGTATCCGCGTCACTGAACTGTATAACATGGAAGGTTACCTCCAGTATCTATAAGTGAAGCCAAAAATGGCGGCTTATAAAGCTTTCTTGGGCGTCATTCTCAGTCTCCCAAACGCGTTTTTTTCGCGCGGTCAACTAAGGCGCGGGAAATTTAAAATGCAAAGGCCTGCTACTTTCTTCAATCTTTTCTACGTACTGTTCCCAAGCAAAAATATATTAGGCGTTAGTGTAAAAAGCTGATAGGAAATTCAAAATGTGAAACAACTGCAAGTTGATAAAAATGCCACGTTATTGCGTGGTACCCCGCTGTAAAAGCAACGACCGAAAAAAGGAAAATAGGCCTGTATTTTTTCACAGGTAAATATAATTTTACTGTAAAATAAATTATGAAAGTATTGTATAAAACGCGAGCTTTATAGAATTTATAGTTGAAAAGCATCCCTAAAGAATTTCATTGGTCTACCTAATGTATGCGCCTATGTTTAATTTTGTTTGGGGCCGGGGGCTTTAAATTTGTTTTGTTTTGGGGGCTTTAAATCAGTTTACAATAAAAGCGCGCGAATTTTTCTTGGGAAGAAAGAAAAATGGCGACTGTTGTTGTTATCGTAACTGACAAATATAATCAACATTTCGCCGTTTTATCATGACCCTATCATGGTTTAACTAAAGCAATTGTCTGTCATTTTTTCCCGTACTATTTTGTTCAGATACAGTTTGTAGTTGATCATTATTCTCAGACAGTAACGTGTCAGCCCGACGATTTCGTCCGGCTATGCTAATTTTACGATTGACCGCGCGTTTGGGAAACTGAGAATGACGCCCAAGAAGGCTTCATGACCGCCATTTTTGGCTTCACTTTTGGATTGCGTAATTCCTTTAAGTTAGCCTTCCATGTTATACAGTTCAGTGATCCGCGTATCCAGTGAAATAGTGGCTACATTATTTCCATGACTAGTGGAGGGGTATTCTGCAATTTAGCCCTATTCATGGCTGGGCATACTTTATTAGGCGCGCTTGCAATTATTTCCTCCCAGCATTGAAATCCGGCTTATCGATGAAATCATCAACAGAATTCGTATGACGGTCGGCTCGATTTAAAGTGGTTTTTTTCCTTGAGTATGTTTGCTTGGCTAAACTGTAGCTCTCTATTGATCCATGCATATAATTTTATCGAAATATGACACGCATTCGAAGTAAGATTTCATATAGATGATCATGCAATTGTATATAACAAGACGTTCTCAATTGCATTTTATGTATATATGCTAACGCGAGTAAAATGGAGTCGGATATAAATGCACACTGCAATATAACCCCTTAAATTACTTAATTGACTTGGCCGGTGGAATCGAGTTGGGCCACGATCATCCAATCATTCCGAATAAACATGACATGAAAGGTTGCTAGACCTTCAAAATGGCTTGGCTGAGGTTAGAGTAGTTGTTAGCTTAGTGGTTACAATTTAGTAGGATGCATTTACTCACATTGAAACAACAATTGTTTACATTTTTCAAAAAAAATGTGGGTAGATGCTACCTCGAAATATATATAATTATATGATATAACTAAAGATTTCGCCAAAAATGGATTGATCATGATGCTTTCATGCATGTCTTAATTATCTGTCTGGGGAAATCTTGATTAGTTAATTTTACTGTAAGCAGAGGGCACAAATTGTGTCACAAGTAGATGTCTCGAAGATGTTGAGGATCGATGTTTCTTAAAATAGTGAGTATAAACTCCCCTGTGCATGCATTTGGTATCGTCGTTCCTATATGGGCGCCAGCATTGCTATATGCTTTGCAGAAAATTATTTGCACTCTTTGTGATTTAAAAACCCGGTTTCTATATGGGCCGTCTGCTATTGCTATATGCTTTAGTGAACATACTGTGCACTCTTTTCTTGCTGCCAGGGGTTGGGTATTAAGTTGCTTTGCAGGGCGGATTTTCGGACCTTCGG